AAAAAAAAAAAAAAAAAAATCAAACATTTTTGAAGACTATAGGGTGCTGTTCTCTCACTAGAGTATCTGTACTCTCCTGAGAAGCTCCATAAAAAGCAAAAGCTGTTCTGACAGAAATAAACTGAGGCTAGTGTAGGGAAGAGAAGGAATGGTCAACAGCAGTTACTACATCCAGCCACTAATGCAGTCTCTGGTACAAACTGGTGCCTCCCTTTGGTCCAATTTTCACCAATTCCCACCTTGTGCACACTGTAACACAGGGCAGCACCTGTTCTTAGCCCAACCCGTAGTATTCATGGGAGGAAGGAGACTCTGAATTTGGGGGGTGAGGGGGGGAAAATACTCTTGCTGGTTTCAAAACTGTGCAGTTCCCTGAAAAAAAATTCAGCTACCCCCTACCCTGCATCCCCAAGTAGTTGCTCTGGTTCACTAAGAGGTAACCTAGAGTCGTATCTGTTTGCCTGAAATCAGAATCATGCTGGGTTTACCATACAGACCTCTTGACTCATGCTGGTGTGATTCCTGAGTGTGGAGATCCTGATTCTCTGAGGACCAGTCCGAAGTTTTAGGTTTGTGCAATACACACCATTCTGGAGTTATTCAGGTTCATAGAGGGATGATGCAGTCATTTTGATCACTAACAGCTGGGCTCTGGATGCAGCTCCCTCTGCAGTGTAATGACCCCCAGGAGTCTGGAGAGAATTAAAGACGTTTCCTTCTAACTGAGTGATCCCAGTAGAGCGGAAAGTTACAAAGCAGCCCTGTGAGTTTTGTGCCACTCATCTCATCTTTCAGTGATGCTTTCTAAGATGCCAATCAAATTGTCCAGTCCCAACAGGTACCCATCTTCCCTGTTGCCTTCTTGCCAGGGAATTCTGTGATCCAGTGTCTGCCCATCAGGCAGAAGGGTGGTCTTTCCAAAATCAATCAGCCACACGTTGGCATTCCCACTGTCGTCATGCACAAAAAGTAGTGAACTTCCAACGACCTGGAAGACAGACGAAGATGTTTTATTGACCAGATCATCCCTAAGTCTCCCCTACCACTCACCCTTCCTGCTAAGATCACCTCCTCAGATGCTCTCCTCATCTGTGACCAAACAGATGAGCTGTATTGCTGACAATCCATATGCCCCATTTGCATAACAAAAATCAATCCTTAATTTATAAATGGGCATGTAGATGGCAAAAAGGGACCCAGCAGAGCGAGGGAAGAAAAGCAGTTCTCCAGCTCACTTGGCAGCAGGTCTCAATTTTAGCGAGTCAGTAAAAAGACAGTGACCACTTTCAAAGAAAGACCATGGTGTATATTATAAACAAAACTGCCACTAGTGACTAGTGGGAATCAACACCAACAAGGTAAAATAAGATGTCTGACCTCAAGATCTTGAGCCGTAGCAAATAGAACTTAAAATGCTAACACTGCCCCTCTACAGCAAAACTTACAAGGAGAATCCCGTATAACTCCAGTAAAGCCTTGACTGTCAAACTACAACTGAATGCTACTGTACTAAAGGAAAGCTTCCACATTACTACTCCCCCTGCAGAGATTCCCACTGGAACATATTGAAATTAGAGGAGCCATAGGAAATTGGTACTAATAAACCATTTCCTGTGGTGACCCAAAGCTATAGGAATGGGAAGATTTATTACTCCTCAACTGGATTAGCCTTCTGCATTATTGTGATGGAGGCTTTGAGGTATCTGTATTGTTAACATATGTTAGTTTTCTACTATTATAAACTCCTCTCTACTAATACAGCAGGCTGTTCTGAAGCGCATCTGAATGATCAAATGAAGCAACAATGCACCTCCACACCACATTGCACTCGCTCACCGCTCACCTCATGCCGCTTGAAGAAGTCTGAGGACTCAAGAATGACATGAATTTCCTGCAGACGCTTGAGGTATTTTTTCTGGAAGAAGGGGGGGGGGGGGGGGGGGGAAACCTTTTAAGTAAGTGGAGGATGAATGAAGATACTCTGCTTACAAGAATCATAATAATGAAGCAATCATGTTAATTTTAGGCCAGATGTCCTTCAAAACAACAGGCTCATCATTTGAAAGCCAATCAGAAAATACATTTCAACAGACTGCCTTTACAGAAGAACAGTACAAAGTTCCTCTGCTGCTTGTGTGCCACAGTGAACATACATATTCATCTGTCTTTGGCTTTGGAAGCAGTGAGATAGCATCTGGCTACATACCCTCTGCACTCTTTCTTTTTGAATGAAGAGAAAATAAGTTTCAAGCAAGGAACAGTCTTTCAGTTCTCCATAGGGAAAAAGAGACTGACATTACATTAGAGAGACAAGGAGCTCCAACCATGTTATGGGAAAAATCGAAGCCTAATGCCTAAAGCTGTAGTAAGCATTTTCAGTGCTGCCTTGTGTTACCAGGCATGCTGCTCTTGAAGAGTTGGTCTTCCCCTGTAATGGCTTCTACATGGTCGCAAACCACTACGGCCTCCTTTGAAGTTCCAAAGACAAAGCCATGTTATGCCCCCTGCCGTATGCCTGCTGTGCTACCCTTGAAGGACCTTGAAGTAGCATACAGGAATTACTCCTTGATCAAATCTCACCCTTGGGGAGCACAGCCAACCACCAGTCTCACTTCCTGGCCCCCATGCAGGTTTCATCCTGTCTAGACTGAACTCACGAATCACAAGCTTTCCTGTCACCGTAGCCTTCTCTTAGACATCAGCATCTTTCTGATACCACATACACTCATGGTGGAAGGCTAACAGCAAGCCACAAGTTGGCTTGTCTTACTTTTTGCTAGCACAAGCAATGTGAGGGGAACTCATGGTACTCCAACTACGGCAAGAGTTGTGGCAGGTGGCCTTAACCACTACTGCTCACAGTCTGCCAAGACTCCAGCTCCGCCTGCTGAGCGGGCCAGAAAGTTCAATCCATTTTCTTCCTCAGTAGTTTCGTAGAACGTTCTTCTTTCAGAGGAAGCGTGGCCCCAAAGCAAGCTGAATGAGCCAAAGATCAGTGTACTTAAATAGTTCAGACTCACCAGAATAGTTGTGTTACCCTCAATGAATTCCACAAAAACTTGGAGAACTTGCTCCTGTGTCTTCGTAGTTTTGAAGTTTGTGTTACATGTTCCATCTGCCTTCTGCACAAAAACACACAAAGACAGAGAGGGTGTATACTGCACATAGTGTTCCTCTCATCAGTAAATCCTCTTGAACCATCAGCAGCTCAGCTCAGCTCTCACTAACCAGCTGAAAGTGAGTAGCTGAACAGGAAGAGAGAAGATAAACCAAGCAACAGGTGGAAGAGAAGAAATACAAGTGCTGATTAAATAGTTTTAAACAGCACTTCATTTCCTGTTGACTGCAGTTTTAAAAAACATCTCAAGATATTACCAGCCAGTAGAAGGATTTTTCTCACATCTCAGTAGTAGCAATGCAAAGTTGAAAGGAGCAAACCACAGTGACATCTTTTTGGTTGTCTTCTCATCTAGCTTGGTGCAGGCATCCCCCCAACTGGGATTATAAAGGGACATTCCCAAATCCTGTTTTCACTAGGTTTTTCCCCCCCCGCCACCTTCAGATGGGGAAACCAAAGAATTGCAGGTAAGACTCTTAATATACCTTTGCACCTGAACGTGATCTAGAAGTCATAGAAAGGAAAGCTACTTGCAGACTAGAACTAAGGATCTGCAATACTGTCTGATACAAATGTTAGCGATAACAAGGCACATGTGTGACTTTTGGCAAAGGACAGCGTGAGTATGCATCCAACTGGTGCTGGAGAAATACAGAATATTTTTGTGCTAACAGCACAGCTCAATAGAGAAGCATCCTGCTACTGAAAGACAGCAGAGCTTTTGTGAACTGGTAGCGGCCTGTCTGTGCGTTGTCCCTGTTCTTTCAGGTGACGCAAAAACACACTTTGAGGACATATATATAAAATACAGCAATTATTGCGGGCAGTAGCCTTTATCTACCACAGAGCTGCAAGAGCATCAAACCATATTTTCCTCCATCATATCAGTCCAGTGAAGCCCCCTTCATTTCCGTTATAGGAGGAACTCAACTAGCCACAAAAATATGTTCCCTCCTACATGTTTAAGACACTGCACCAAAACTGGATAAATTCAGCCCTGGTCTCAGCAGGTGCAACACTATTACTCCCCAGAAGAACTCAGCCCCTGGTAGGTACATGAAACAAAAAGATAATGCTAAAATTCCAGAATTATCGCACAAGCAAGTGAACTGACTGAATGGCAAAGCCATGCAGAACAGCCTCCCACCTACCAGACTTTTTAGCTGCAGAATAAACAGAATTTTATTCCAAGGCTGTGGGCCAGATACAAGTGTGGTTTGTCAGCCTGACGAGATGTGTAAGTTATGCAAGAGGAGTGCAGCAGGTAGGCAGGGGAAGTTAGGAGCCATCTGAACTGATGTATGGTAATACTTAATAGTATATAGAAATGTGGAAATTATTTTGATGCCTCATATCTTTTCTCTAGGGAGCAGCAAAATACTATTGAGAGGAAAGCTACTGTAAAAATAATTTCTCCCATCCCTAAAGCCCAGAGCAAACTATGGAACAGCGGCTGTGTTTTCCCTTTTCTTCCCTTTTTGTCTGGATGTATTAGCTGCTTGGTTCCTTGTTGTTCAGAAATATTTTTACGATTCTGTTCCCTGGCAGTGGTTGGCAGAAAACATAATCACTGCCTTTCTTTACTTGTTGTAAACACCTGTCCAGTTTTTGAGTTCCACCATCCCTCACATTCTACACCAGCTCCTTGCAACAAATCTGGGTGTACCTGATCCCCAGCAGGAGCTTGCCAACCTGCTCCTTGAAGCCACAGCTTTGTCAGCACCTCCACGTACATCCCCTCACGGTGGAGTTCTCTGTTGCACACTCCAGCTAGTGGCTCACCTGTGGCACTTCTCACTAGATGTGACAGTGACTCAAGCAGCAGGAAATCAGGTTTGGCTGCCCCATACAATAGTGCTACCTGTCTCTTAAATGCTTAGCTCAGCTTCTTCTGCAGACTTCTCTTAAAGGGCTCTGGGCTAAGGCCACAACCTAAAAGGATTTACAAATATTTATGAGTCAGATCTCCTGTTCTCCTGGGAAGATGGCTATCCCTGACCTACAGCTAAAGGAACAGTAACAAAGGGAGAAGCAACTTCATAAACTGCACAGAGATTCAAATGGCAGAATGAGATGGCAGGACTGCTGAGTCTCAGCCCTGTGCGTATCTACTCTGCAAGACTGTTAGCTCAGTGTTGGAGAGATGACGTTTGTGAAGCTTAGCACTCAGTGTCTTCCAGAGAGGAAGCCTGCCTTCTGAAGCCAGCAGGCACAAGAGGCTGAGTGTCAAGTGCCAGCTGTAAGAAAACCCAACGGCTCCACCTACTTCTGATAAGAGGAGGAGTGACATATTCAGTGAATGAACCTGGCCTGATTTCAAGGACATGGAAGTGATCCAAGGAAAAGAGATGGATCAACCAAAAAAAGGTACCCCACTGATGAAGGAGGAGTGCGTATCGTGAATCAGATCTCACTTATAGGGAGCCACCTCGGAGCCCAGGGCTTCTATAATTTCACCTTCTTTGCTTCTCACTGCCGCAGGCACAGGAGTAGGAATATTGCTGAATGACTAAACCCAACATGTGCTCAGCTAACCCAGGGAGTTACTCCCTGTACTTAGGGAGAACAACCCCTCTGCTTCCCATCAACCACTAGCTGGCACCACTGATCCTCACAGGTTTTTCTCTCAAAATTAGAAACTCTGCAGCAGGGTTTCGCTCCACTGCAAATAAGCAGAACTGGATGTACAGTTCAACTACAGTAAAACAGCGTGGGGAGTACTGACTGGCTGTATTGTTTAAACAACTCACTTCTGTCTTCATTTGTCCATATATAAAATGAAGAGAGTGACACCTACATCCCCATAACAGTACAGAGAGAGAGAGGAAAAAGTAAGTTTCTGGAGTACTCCAAAGTATTTCCTCCCCCGGACTAAAAGCTTCAGTATCTGTGTCCTGTTTTGCACTGTTACAGCACTATCCCAACTGAGGGAAACATCATGCAGTCAGCATGCGCCATACTGCTCCTCCCTGCCTCTACAACCAGCCAAACCAGACAGAGCAAGTCAGGAGAGGTTACTGGAGCTCCCCTGGGCTCCCCTGGTTCAATCACTCTTCAGGACTCAACATAATTCTGTAAATCTGTGTTGACCAAAGCTCTTTCCAATAACATATGTATAAGGTCTTGAGAACATCTGGGTTTCTAATGCCATTACAGAGAGCATCCAAAGACTTAAGTGGTATAGGAACTAAAACAGGTACCTTGATAATAGTATTAGATGGCTAAAGGGTAAGCCAGGAAAGTCTTGGTTAGGCTGGAGCCAGATCATTTATCACCCAAACATTTCCTGTATGAGGGTGCCTGTCTCTAACAGCCAGGAGTGGGTGGCAGAGCGTACAGGGGGCCAACACAGCATGAGCTGGAACTCCTAGTTCCCGCATCACAGCGGGAAGGGAGGAAACACCATGGGGAAGCAGAGAAAAAAAAGGGGTGGCTAAGGAGCCTCTGCCTGTCAGCTTCACCCTCTTCTATCCCTTTCTTTTTCCTATGTGCTTTAACTATGGAACGGAAGCAAAGTTAATCCAGAGTCTCATTTACAGCATCTTAACATACGTAAATTAAACTGATGAAGGACACAAGTGTGCTCTGCTGAACATCCTGGAATTCACACAGGGTAAGCCATGCTAACTTCTTCATAGCTGTCAAGGCATGAGCTCCAGCTAACAGTACTCACCCACGGTATAGGTGGGCTTGGGCAGCCCCCGTCATGCTCTGTACTGCTAAAGGAACACTGCTATCAAAACCTGAGCAAACCAGTTTAAGGCTAGCTCTGACAGGCCTATACAAACAGAAAGCACACTTCTAGACCACAAGTAACTCGGTCAGGTGGCTGATATTCTGAGAGTGGGTCTAAATGGGCTTCTAGGGTAGGTCTATCTGATACTGCCACAGAGCATGGCAAATATAAAGAATTGATGACTAGGATAAAAAACTGCAGAGGCTCTTCCATGGCTGTAAGGTAACATCCTAGAAAGGTATAAGGATAGACACTCTTCCCTTAAGATTAGCAGATGAACTCTGTTGATGCAGAAATTACATCTTTGGTTGTTTTGGCTTTATTCCAGCTCCATCTAGACTGCATATTGTCATGCACTTAAAAGGAAAAGGGGTTTCCTCAGTCGCAAGAATATCCAGCTAATGCTTTTACCCTGCTTTGCAAATAAACACAGCTGGAATAGAACTGCTTTACTGTGATTCACTTGGAATAAATATGTGAGTTCCCAGAATAGCTCCTGGATATAGATATATAGGAAAAAAAAAAAAAAAAAGCAATTGCATGAGGAGAGGTGATTATTCCACCAGTTCTGAATTCCTCCTTTTATCAGTTTCATTTTCATTGTACCTATACTGTGTATCTGCTTGGGTCCTTTCTGCAGCGTCCCTGTGGTTGATCCAAGTATGGCTGATGCGCATCTGATGACCAGCTTACTTGACGCTACTCTGCTATAACTATAGTGGATGCTATAAGGTCACAGTACACTGAACTCTGTTGTTTCAATTCGTAGTGTTTTACATAATCCTTTGGAAAACTTGGCTAGCGATGCAACACTAGCTTGCTGATTAACTAACAAATCAGGCAACGTTCAGTCACGAAAAACAGGCAGAATTGGAACTATTTACCTTAATCCCTTCAATCCTGAAGCCCAAGTTGGCACTGGAGCTGATGGTTTCCCTCCATTGCATGTATCGGGGCTTGGTGACAGCATGCTGCGCGTTCTCTTCTGCTGTAGGAGCAAGAGGATCCACTTCTATCATTTTCTTGTACATGTCCTTACGCAGCTTTGGTTTCTCACGGGCCTTAGTCAACTCTTCCTCCAGATATGTCCTGCAAAAACATCACATCCCAACAAAACTGCAAGAACTCCCCAAGCATTTATTAGTCTCAGAAGAGGTCAACCACAAAAATAAGCATTATCATTATCCCAGCTTTGCATATGGGGAAAACTGAAGAACACAGATTAACGGCTGCATAGAGTTATTTATGAAACAGTAACAGGAGTTAGGATTCTTGTCACTCGTTTCTTGCTCTAACTACCTTTACTTACTGTTACATATTATTGCTATATCCTGCTTACAGATTGTAAGAAAGCTGAATGCCCGTTCTTCCATGATACAGAAAAGTATTTTCAGAGGATAATTAAAAGAGATCACTTACAGTGAAATCAAAAGCAGATGGGCCTGCTGAAGCCTTACAGTAGTCTCTCTCCTCAAAAAAAAAAAAAACTAACTTCAGTCATGCTTGATTTTTCAGGCCTCAGAAGGCACTTAAGGCTACCTTTATGTATCGGGCAGCGAGCAAAGAGTAAAGCACATTTATCTGAGGAACTGCAGCTCCAAACCAAAAGAGGTAACTAAGAAAGGGAAGGTGCAGGGTGTCACGGTGCAGGGGGTCTTTCACATTTTGCTGTTATCACTCTAACCGTTAATTTGGTAACCATTAGAGTTAGAAAGGTACCATGCACGTTCTCTGCACTCCACTGGACTCCTACAGGTTCTCTCTCTCCATAAAGCTTGCACTTTGTCAGGTGCCTGGAGTGTACTTTCTTCATCACAGTGACATAAACAGGGCTGGCATTTAGGAGATGCTGTCGCCCGTTACCAGAATGACAACTACTTTGAATAAAATACGTACTGCTGCAAATCGCTCATCTTTCTTCTGGGCATGTCTGTGCTACACGTTTCTACCTTGAGTTAGCAGACAGACAGACACTTAAGGTTCTGCACCTATTTGAAAAGGCTTGCCTAGACTCCTCCAAGTTGAATACTTCATTTAGCCCAGTAACTCTGAGCATCTGAGTTAACACCAGAAGATGAATAGACAGTTCATACCTCTCTGAACTGTTCCTCCAGGCTCTTAACAGATTCCTTATCTATTTATTAGTTATGCTTAGTTAACCTTTTACAGGTTTTCCTCTCAATCATAGACAAGGGAAAAGGAAAAAGAAAAGAAAACTCTTCTGGAGAGCAATGCAATAGCATCATGGAGATGTCAGAGTGGGGAAGGACATAGGCCAGTCCTGGAAGGATTGTCAACTTTTTTCCCTTTATCACTCCCACTGAAGAGTCATTCACGTTTTAGAAACAGGCTTTCCACACTGCTATTTAGTCAGTCATACTTAGAGAAGGCAATTTTACTCTGTTGGTTTTTTTGAATCACTGTGTAAGCAAAGATTAAAAGAACTGGCAGTGAGTGAATCACGTAATTTTCCCCTCCCTCTCCCCCCCGTGTAGTATCAGGCCATTGCAGAGAAACTTTGCCTCAAATCACCCCTGAAAATATCCTGATGTGGGTAGTTTTTGAGGCTACAGATCATTCAGTCTCCAGAACCTATGTACAATTAGACAACAACAGAACACCTTCTCCTCAGGTTGTCAAGGCAATTGCCAAGCCAATAACAGGCTGCGTACACTGAACCCTAAGGCTCCAAAAATGTTATTGAGCTCCTCCAGGCAGAGCATGACAACATCTCCCCTTACCCCAAGCACATTCAGGCTAGAAAGCACATTCTCTTCCATGTCTCTCACCTGATCCCCATCTTGCAGTCCATCACACATGGCCCTTCAAAATCAGTAAGCAAGTCATCCAGCTGAATATAGCTCTCGCCATCTCTCTCCACCACACCGTGGAAGCAAGGAACGCAGGAGCGTAGTGGGTCTTTCATCAGTCGCTCAAAACACTCCTTTTCGTTCTCTGAGAAGCGCTTGAGAATCTTCCCACTATCGGCTGCCTTGAAACTCCCTAAAGAGAAAATCAAATACGTGCTGACAAGGCTGACCCTGCAGAAGAGGAAGACACCTTCCGCCACTACCCTGGCCTCATCTACCTCACCCTCATGATACCAAATAAAGATTCTCCCTGAACAGAAAAGGTAACATGCTTCTCAAAAAAAATAAAACACCCAGGACAAACACAGCCATTGGCAGTGAAAACCTATTTGGATACATTTCCATATCAGAATTTATAGCTTTAAGGAGTGCAGCTGCTCCAGGCCATAGCATGGAGGGGGGAAAAAAAAAAAAAAAAAAAACCAACACACCCCCAAACCCTAAACTCTTTGTTAGGATATTAAACATTGCTACACTTATTAACACGCACAGGAAGAAGCCACAGGCCAGACTTTGCTAATACTCTGACAGGCTATTTTAAAGCTGTATAACACTGCCAGTGTTGGCTGTGCCCTGAATCCTCCTATAGGGTATATCTGCTAAGTGTGTACGTACCAAAGCGGTGCGGTCAATCAGTGATGATTAAGCAGCCACCAACAGGCCAGAAGCCAAGCACTGCCCTTTCTACACACACACACACACACACTCTGCGACCGCACATGCCTATACCTCCAGGTACTGAGCTCCTCTGGAGCCCTGCTAATCCGCAGGTACAAACTGTAGCACAATTGTTTTACAACCATGGGTTTGAATCTCATCCAGTACAAGCGATACCGTGTACGTAGGCCAAGATTGGCAGTAATTAGATTGCAGCCGCAGAAGTCACTCTCCTGTCCTGCAGCATGCCAGTAACATCAGAGGAAAGTACATGTTTCACTCAGACGTAGCCTTTAATCTACACAGCATAAAATAGGCTCCAAAGTAGGAGCCTGATTAAACCTGAGAGTGAAACTCAAATTTTTTAATCACAGTAGGATCCTCCATATTCAGCCATTAGCAACTGGCTCTTCTCTGACAAATCCTAGAACTGGCACTGCCTCAGCACAAGGGCTGGGGTGGTGATGGCCCACATTATAGTTTAGAAAGAACTTGTCATATCAGAGAAGACTAGCTGCAAAAATGATGGACTAAATGCAACTATAGAAAACTACCTAAAGGCAACTGGAGCGGTCTCTCTCCTTCTAATCCGCTTCTGGTAATCTCTCATCCCTCCTCCTCCACCCTACACAAACTCCACAAAGGGTTGTAATTACATAACCAATGTACCACTCCACGCAGATCAAGCCAACCCCTTATACACTGCGACAGAAACTGCAAGCAGTAAGACCGGGTCATCTTGGCACACTACCTGATACCATCAGCCCCACCAACACCACTGTGCAAATGCAGCTACCTCATTTCTAGGACTGAATAAATACGTCTGCACAGCTTTGCAACTAGCATATAGAGAAGTGGTTCAGATACTGCACTAAAGCACTATGCAGTGTTAGGTGCCTGCCCACGTGTACTAATAAATTCTGCACTAGCAAATTAGGAAGAAGGGTGGCTTAGAAAATGAAGCGTTAGAGAAGGAAACTTGATGACTTTGGTTTTTTGCCTTACCAATGAAACAAAGCCTAAATCAGGAGCACATTTATCAAGATCTACAGACACTAAACTGGACTCAGCTGACTGAGCTGCTCCTTGTGCTCATGTAGTGAGCACAGGAGACTCACAGTGCAAAACACCTCGTCATCAAGTCCCTATTTCACCATGTTTGTTTTTCGCTTGTGGGTTTACATTCAGATATGAGGTTTGGAATTGGTGCTAGAAACGCAGTACTCACCAGGGCTGAGGCACGTAAAGGAACGAACAGTTATCCTTTCCACTAGGGAACTAACATGTTGGCTGCTCACTTGAGAGAGATGATGCCATACCACAAGCAACAGCAGGTAGACCAGGCCTTCGACTTCACTCCCCACTCCCTCTTGTTTTCCTCTAACATGTATTTTACTCATATCATTTTACAAGAAGTGCATACAGGAGCATGGCCCTTTCCCCTGAAGTCTGCCCACTGCATCCTTGTTCATCTCCTTATTTAGGTGCAACACTCTCCCTTTTCTACCCCACACCGCAGCTGAAAGAAAGGCGTTCTACTTCACAGAGTCATGTGTGTCACATAGTACTTGCTTCCTTCAGGTAAAAAGGAACAGACTGATCACCTGCCCAGATCCCAACACAAAGCAGCTAAACAAACACTGAAATAACTGTTTTCCTTGCTGCTGCTATCCCCATAAGAGGAACAAAACACTGAAAATACTCATCTCACCTGTATGCCCAGCCAGCTGCACCCATGAGTAGCGTTTCTTGAAGGGGCTGATGACTGGTAAGTTAACCATGGTTTTAATCGTATGCCATGCCTTTTTCTGGAATACAGAGAAAAGAAATATTAAATTGGACAAACTCTGAAATCCTGTCGCACCACAAATGTACCCAGTAGTCTGAAATTCATGCACACTGAGTTGTCCCTCCCCAGTTTGTTTGTAAAACTTGTAAATGTTCGAAGGTGGAACCACAAAACGTACACTATGATCATCATTGGAAAAATACACAGGTGAGAGCAAGAATGGAAATACTTCCTACAGTCCATAAGAAAACCGCCTCCAAGGCATAAAAGATGTGTCATGCTGTGCATGTCACAGGCCTGTTCTTAGCCACACCTGACCCTCTCTGAGTCATGCAGTACACAGAGAGCAGACTCTGAACCCACACATAAGCCGGCTAAAGTTTTTATGAGGCATGAACATAAGCAGTTTGCCACTGTCAACAATACTTCTCTTCCCAGAGGCCTTCAGCATCACCTCATGATTAACAGCTTTCTCCAAGTCAGCAGGCGATTCTTATTGTGATAGATGCATAGAAAATGCATCCGTAATCAGGCACCAAGGTCACCCAGTTCCCTGTAACACCAGTTGACAATGTGCTGTAGGATCTATTCCAGGTCATGGATTTTCCTGCTCTCTCCCCCCCTCCTTCCCAATCCTGTTACATTTTAACAAAGTTGGGCACTACTCTTGCCACCTTGGCTGTCCCACAGTGCAGCTGCCTGGATACCACTGCAGGCAGACAGGGAAACACAGCAGCTGCTCAGAAACAGCTCGAGTGCTCTGTCGCAATGGGGCAAAGTAGAAAGTGAAGAAGTCCCACACTTTGGAACTGAAACCCAGGTAAGTAAGAATCACAGCCCATAATGACACTGACTCACAGAGTGAGTGATCCCAAAGTGCTTTATAAATGAGGAAGGCGGGCTCATTTCTTCTTCCTCTAGGACAAGATGCCCTCCTGAAGAAAAAGCAGCTGGTAACAGCCTACAGAGGTTCTGCACAACAATTTAGTACTGAAGTTTTTCTGTTAAGATTTTTTTTTTTTTTTGCTAAGGATCAAGTATAGTTGGCGGGTAGGCCAGGTTTTCAGTAGTTTTCACTTATCAATGGCCTAAACATGCTCCATAAAAATCAATGGGAGCCACTGATTTCACTGAAAAGAGTTTAGAGCTTGCTGAACACCTTAAAATCCACCTTTAAAACACTACATGTTCTCTAGCAGGGACAATGATTTGATGATTTAGATGCTCAAGCCACCTAACAACTACTGTCTTCTACAAAAGACTTTGTGGAAGTGAAAAATACAAAAAGTGAAATTGCAGGCAGTACCATCCAGGCAAAATGTAGTTTTCCAGGTCACATTCTGGCATGGTCACCCTTCCCCACACTCATTCAGTTATAACAGGTTTCTTATAAGGCATCCTCTAGTGATGCTGGTCGCTGTGTGATGGCAAAACCCTGTGGCAGTCCTAGGGCACATCGAGAGGATATGGCAACTCATAGAAGCAAGTGATCTTTCTTTTAAAGGTTTGTTTTCACAAGAACATCGTAAATTATGCTGCAAATTTAAACTGACGTAACAATAGAATCTCCATAGGGCTATACTTATCCTGGAAGAAGATTGCTTCTTTCCTATTTAACTTATCTTGGTTTTGAAAGCCGTTCAAGCTGAAATGAAATCACTCTTGGTCTGACACGCGTCCCATGCAGCAGTAATACTTTCATAAACATACAGGGCTAGTAAGAGGGAGCATCCAAAGAAAGTCCCAGACGTTTCAGAATTATGAAAACTCAGTTGCACTTATGCAACACCACAGATGTCACTGGCTCTAACTAAACTACAGTTTAGTAAAGACTTTCTGCAGGTTCAAGTGTCCCTGCAGTCTCCAGTGGATTTCATATTATGTATTATTTGCCTTAAACTGTTCTAAATTGCTACTGTGCACTGCTAAACAGTGGCTGGGCTCTATCCCAAAGCTAGCTGCTTTTTAGTGGCAATGAAAGAGATTCTCGTACATCATTTGGGAACATCCGTAGCCTCCCTTCTGGCCAAAAGGGCAATGTAAATATTGTTATTCAAGTAGAAAAGATAGTAAGTGTCTTTCGTATAGTCCATTTGCCAGATCTAGCTGATAGCAGAATCCCTTCAGTCTGCTCTGCTGTTCCTGCTCCAGATGGGCAGGGCTAAGTTATTTACAGAATAGCTGAAAGTAAACCTCATTCTGAACATAGCCTCTGAAGAAATTTAAGTTTTTAAAGACTCCAGCTGAATTTTCAGGTTAGCACTGCTGTTTCCCCCTCCCTCAATCAGAGATGAGGGCTCTACATCCCTCCCGTAAAGATCCTATGCTCATCACAACGTCCCTTTCCTAACATACTGTATCCTGTCTGTCTCCCAATGATTTGTCCTACTGCTATATCCAAAAGTGAGGAGAAGCACAGGTTTTCAAGGAATGCACGTCAGCTGTCAACGCAACACCACACGCTAGTGGCTTTCCCACCTCCTCCCACCCACCTAGCCTTAGGAAGCTCCAGCTTATATTTTTACTGTGGGGGTTAAGGAGAGACAATGGGCCAAATTCAGCCCCAGCTCAAGCAGGCTTTGGCTGCTTAGGTTACCGCTGCCTTGGATGAATACGTTTGAGCTACTCACACAATAAACACACACGGTCAATTTGTTACAATCTCTTCACAGGCCTTTTTGCCTTAACAGGGAAAGCATGAGGCTCAAGCTAGGATGGAAAGGACTGCTGCTTCGGCACCTAGACCCCTCCCAACACGCTGCCATCAGCGGGGCTTCGGCAAATGCACTCTCCCCCACTGCAGCTTCCAGTCCCCAAACTCACTCAAGCCATTGCCAGCATGCAAACAGGGTTGCACGCTCTTGGAGCAGCGGTGTGAGTGGGAAGATGAAGACTTTTTGTGCCTGTTGTGGGAGGAATCTTTCTCACTTCTATTTCTAAAGCAAGATCTCTTCCTCTTTGTTAGCAAATGGTTTTATGTGCTTTTCCAACCACTGTTTCATGCATCAATGGCAAAGAGGACTGCAGCCTATGTGCAGTTGCAGTCCATGTCTCCCTCAGTCCCCATTTCTTCTAGATTCTTGCTCAGTCTTCCTTGCTCTCTTGGTCAGGCTGGTTTTCTCCAAACCCCTCAGTCAGTGTTTGATGCTATCCACGTATATTCAGAGAAAGTTCCGATTTCTCTCTAACAGTACTGCCTGAATCAGATGCCTCTGACATCGCCGATGCAGTTTCATATTTCTCTTCAGATCTGTACACTCAAGAGTTCTGCAGTAGCAAAAGGAAGACATTCCAGAAAGGCCCAAAAGTCAAACAGGAGAAATGTTAGCATTCTTAGATTCAGCATACAAATTATGGATACATCTATACATATATATATATATATACATGTTTGTGTGTATTTATAGGTATACAGAAATATGGGTAGGTAGACAGGCAGAAGGCAAGCAAGCCAGAAATCCAGGCCCCACCAAACCAAAGATTATGGGAAAATCTACACTAGGGTCAGGATATCACTCCTGTTATTATATATATATATATATATATATGTATATAACGTGTGTGTGTATGTATATATATTTAGATATATATGCGCAATAAAAGGAGTGGGGTGCTAAAGAAGGGAAAAGCTAGTTTCCTGCTGTCTAGCCAGCAAAAAAGCAGAAAGCAAGTGGAAGAATATGGGAGAACTGACCCCTACCATGGGGCCACAGTGCATTCAAGGCATTGTGGCCTGATATCTGATGTTCACCTGTTCTGTGGTATCTGGATTACTCATTTGAATCACTCTTCCAAATGTGAAGCACAGCACTGGAGAGAGGCATATTTCCATGCAGGAGATGTGGCAAACTTGCCCTATGTTAGCACTGACATGTGTGGATATGATACTGGCCAGATGGCCTGTGCAATAGCATCTCCAGCCTATTCATCCCTGGATAGGGGTAGCTGTTGCCATAATGCCTATCCCATCAAGAGGCAACGAAGAAGGGCAAGAACCAATAGCCGCTGGCTCCTGTGCACATAGCTCCCCCAGGCCTGCTCTCACGATGAGCGCACAACTTCATATGTTATTAGTATGCAGAAGCACAACTATCACACAAGTAGGACTTGGTAGAAACTTCCTAGAACCTTAGTAGAGCAACACTCCCTGGGAGCACTTACATCCGTTCCCTAGGCATCACCGTCCCCAAGAAACAATCTGCAGGAACTGCCAGGCTTTCTTGAAACCCTCCCATGATCAGGGCAAAAACATCCTAAGAGCAAAGTCTGTTGAATAGATTAGTGCAGACATTTGATTCCCTGTTTTTTGTTTTTTTTTTTAAATAAGAGCAGTATAAAACAAGTTAAATCTCTCCTTGAGCATATATGCTTAAATCCCTCATGAAGAGGTGATCTACTCTTACCTCTAAGGACCACAGAGGACCAGGACCTGTACCTTCCTCTGCTGTTCCATGGGAAAACAAATACCTCCCCCTTATTCAATTCTGCAAATGCCTAAAACACATACAACTATCCTCAGGCAAGCACTGGCAATCAGGTAACATATGCAGGAATTTGTAGAATTGAGTCCTAACTGAAGCAAAGAAAATAAGCATTAAAAATAGCTATGATGTGTAAACTAACATGGGGGAAGGGGGTAATGAGAAAAACTTCTTCTCAAGAAAAGTCCAACAGTTCTAATGAACCTCGTATGATACTTTGAAACTATAGTGATTTAAAGAAAAACAGTAGGCAGAAATGCAACATAAATTAATAAGGGCCCTAAAAACATTCATTTTTCCATTATCATCAGCAGGGTGGAGGAGTAGTCTCTTGCCTAAGCCGGTAAATTCTCATGGAAATTTTGCTAGGCTATAGTAAACAATGACCCTTGGATCCTTTTTCCCAGAAAACTTCAGCAGTTTCTTTATGCAAGATCCTGTTGTCTTTTTTTCTGTGCATTAGTACAAGCCTACGCAAGCCTACAAAGAGCTATTATGACAGTAAGAAACAAAAGGATAGGGACAAATTTCTTTTAAATCTTTTCTTTTTTTTTTTTTTTT